GGTTATTACAATAAGGACAGAAGGGCTTGAAACGGTCCCTCTTCTTCAGGTGTGGTACAGTGGCAGGGCTCGGAGAAGGATTAGCGGGCTTCGATCCCTGCTGAACCCCAAGCAGAATAGTAGCAGGTTTGACCCTCTGTTGTCTCCCTGCTTTCCGGTCCTTGTACTCAGTATGTGCTGGTACAGCTGGGAAGGGGCTTGTGATTTGGCGAGACACCTGCAATGTCTGGGCCTTCCTTTCCAGCCACTCCGCTAGATCAGGGAGAGTGTATGTACGATCACTGCCACTTTGGATAATTCCTCGATTAAAGCAATGTTCAGCAAATGCATCTCGATAGTTAGTGGGGAGTTTGGTGAGTAGGGTGTCCACATGAGACCCACACTTCAACTCTGACGATGAGGGGCCCTCCATGGTGCTGAGCATTCCCACCAGAGTTCCAACTGCGGTAGCAAAGTCCTCAAATGCTTGATAATCTCCAGCCCTGACTGGTGGGGAATTCAGAATGGCCTTCAGTTCCCCCTGCACTAGCTGCCTTGGCTGTCCGTACCTCTGTGTGAGCGCTTGCATGGCACTTGTGTATGGGGTCTGACTGTTGACATACCTCTTTGCCACTTGAAGTGCCGATGGGAATGTGAGATGGTCAAGCAGGATCTGATACTTATAGTCTTCACTTAAATGCTTGTGCGGACCAAGTAAGCTGTCTAGACCCTTTTTGAGCAAAAGAAAATCACTCTCTTTCCCTGAGCTGAATACAGTCAGTTTGGGTTTAGGAATGCCAAATGATGAAGCAATCGCCATCTCCATCATACTCGGCTGATGTGAACTATCTACTGGGTGAGGTGTTGGATAATAGTGCTGACCACGGGGTCTCCTGGGATGATGCACAGGTGGATATGGCAGTGGAGCAGACTGCCAGGCCCTGGGGAGTGCATCATACTGCTTTAATGAAGCTTCACAGAAGATATGCACTGATAATTGTGGCAGGTGCAGTATCGGTGACTATAAGCATGGTTGTAGTCTCATTAACGCACACGGAATCACACAAACTGCGATACAACTGCCATGCTCTGCTGCTGCTTTTCGTCCCTCACTTTCCCTCTGCGTGATGCGCACATGATCACTGGTGCGCTCATTTGGGTGCGCTTGGTTCTTGCCTCTAGACATCCTGAGGCCGAGTCAGCAGGGAATTTGCACAGCCGCCCCCAAATTCACTAAGGGAATTTGCAGAACACAAATGTCCCTGCTGGATAATATATATACATATATATATATACACCCCTTCAATTCTCTGGCATTTTTGGAAGAGTAATGAGTTTAGTCACGGGGCGAATGTATTTAACTCCTTTGATGTCAACCTCAGCTGTGCGTATCTTACCATCATCACTGGAGATTACTTTAGTTACCCGCCCAACTGGCCACAGGGCTCTTGGGAGCTGTGGGTCAATCACCATGACCACTCGATCTACTGTGAGATCTGGGGTACTGATACACCACTTGTGACGAAGCTGAAGGTTAGGTAGGTAATTGCGAGTAAACTGAACCCAGAAATGGTCGGCAAGCACTTGGCTATGTCTCCAGCGGCGGTGTCCCAGTAGGTCACTCTTGCTGTACACTGCTTGTGGTAGGGATGCATCTCTCCACCCCATAAGTAGAAGGTTAGGAGTAATGGGATCTGGGTCCGCAATGTCTGATGTTGCATAACCAAGGGGTTTCGAGTTAAGAATACCCTCCACTTCTACGAGCATAGTCATCAGCACTTCTTCTGGGACAGCTTGGTCTTTCAGGACAACACACAGGGAAGCTTTGACCGACTTGATTTCCCTCTCCCAGGTGCCTCCAAAATGTGGAGCAAGTGGTGGATTGAATTTGAAATCAATACTCTGCTCAGCGAGCTGTTGCTTCAAAACTGGTTCCATGGCAGCAAAATCTTCTCTGAGCTCCCTCTCTCCTCCTCTGAAGTTGGTGCCACGATCACAGAGAATCTCAAAGGGTTTTCCCCTCCTTGCCACAAAGCGCCGAAGAGCAAGCAAGAATGAACCTGTGTTCATGCTGCACAAAAGGTCTAGATGTACGCATCTGGTGGTCAGACATTTAAAGATAATACCCCACCTTTTCTCATGCCTCCGTCCTATTTTTATGGTGTAAGGACCAAAGCAGTCGACTCCAGTGGACCAGTATGGTGGTTTAGTGATGCGTAATCGTGCAGCTGGTAGGTCGGCCATCTGGGGAGTGACTGGTTTGCTGCGCCATTTACAACATTCCACACAGCTGCGTTGATGCCTCTTGATAATCTGTCGGCCGCGAAGTATCCAGTAGGTCCTCCTCATCTCTGCAAATATACGGTCAGGACCTGCATGTAACAGACGGTTATCATAGTCCTGCACTAACAGCGTTGTGACAGGGTGGTCTGGTGCAAGAACTATAGGATGGATGGTGTCCTCTTTCAGATTTTCAGCCCTCCGGAGCCGACCTCCAACTCTGATCAACCCTACAGTATGGTCTAATTCAGGTGAAAGCGACAGTAAGCGACTGTTAGGGCTGATAGGTTTACCTGACTGCAATGCAGCCAACTCTGCTGGGAAACTCTCACTTTGTGACCTTTTCAGTAGGGCAATTTCTGCCTCCCTTTGACTGGAGGCAGTCATGGGTAGAGCGGCCGCCCCGTGGAGGGCGTGATATGTGGCATGTACCAGCTCAGTCCAGGATTTGAACTGGGTCAGATCAGGTATCAGCGGGCTGCTTGTGGAAATGTTGCCACAGAAGGTGGTGTCACGGATCTCTTCCTCCTGCACCGAGCTCACTATGGGGTGCGTAGGCCAGCTAGCGTGAGGCTGATGGAGGAATGATGGGCCATCTGTCCAGCGGTTTGGCTTAATTAAATCCTTTAAGGATTTCCCACGTGTGATGTCATCAGCAGGGTTCTCTTCAGAGGGAACATATCTCCAGCTCTCAGCTCCAACAAGCTCTTGAATCTCTGCTATTCGGGTTCCCACAAACACTTTA